CTTTCTCAGCATATCGGCTTTCTCAGGGGAAGTTGCAATGCTGGAAATCTCCTCCAGTAAAACAAGCATTTTTCCTTCCCACCCTCTGATGCCTGTTTCTGCTTTTCCCCCATCCTCACAGACCCTTCCCCATTCCCTCTTTCCTTGGCAGGCCTTTTGCATCCTCCTTGTTGTCCCCTTAACATCAAGCTCAGGGTTTTTCCCCCAATTCGAGGGCAGTTTCCCCCTCTCCTTTGGCCTCACTTTGGGCCCTCTTTTCTCCTCCTATTCCTCTGTTTGGAGACTCATAGAGACCTTTGCAACCCCCAGGTTTCCACTCCCCTGCTTCTTTAGACGTTCTGGCCTCTTCCTGTCCTGATTTATTTGGGAAGAAGGTACACCTCTCCAAACCCTGCTGGGTCTCTTTTTGGGACCATCTCCTTTTTTTGTCATTGGTCCCACCTTCTCTGGAACTGGTTTTCTGATAGAAAACCTCAACAACTATCCCAGAATTGAGCCAGAACTATACTGGGGTGTTTGCCTTTCCCTGAAAATATATTGGGGTGCATATTTGTGTGATGTCTCCCTGTCCTTCCAGCTTAGGGCTGGAGTGTTACCTTTCCAGTTTGTTACCCTGACATTTTTTTTTTGGGGGGGGGGATCTGAGCTGTGTGGATCTTGAGGTCATTTGTTTTTTCCAGTTTGGTCTCTTCAACCTCCCATCTTCCTTTGCAGGCAGTGGGGTGGCCCATAACCCTCTCCTTCCCCTTCTCAAGCATGGCCTCACCCCACACTACCTTTCTAGAGCAGCGGATCTCCTCTGGATCCTTCCCACATGATACCCTTGAGGCCTCTTCCTCCCCAGTTTGGTCTCTTGATGAAGAAGGACTTTTCATGAATCAACCTCCCATGTTCCATTGCAGGCAGTGGGGTGGCCCACAACCCTCTCCTTCCCCTTCTCAAGCATGGCCTCACCCCACACTACCTTTCTAGAGCAGCGGATCTCCTCTGGATCCCTCACACATGATACCCTTGAGGCCTCTTCCTCCCCAGTTTGGTCTCTTGATGAAGAAGGACCTTTCATGAATCAACCACCCATCTTCCTTTGCAGGCAGTGGGGTGGCCCATAACCCTCTCCTTCCCCTTCTCAAGCATCAGCCTCACCCCACACTACCTTTTGTAGAGCAACGTATCTCCTCTGGATCCCTCCCACATGATATCCTTGAGGCCTCTTCCTCCCCAGTTTGGTCTCTTGGTGAAGAAGGACCTTCCATGAATCAACCTCCCATCTTCCTTTGCAGGCAGTGGGGTGGCCCACAACCCTCTCCTTCCCCTTCTCAAGCATGGCCTCACCCCACACTACCTTTCTAGAGCAGCGGATCTCCTCTGGATCCTTCCCACATGATACCCTTGAGGCCTCTTCCTCCCCAGTTTGGTCTCTTGATGAAGAAGGACCTTTCATGAATCAACCACCCATCTTCCTTTGCAGGCAGTGGGGTGGCCCATAACCCTCTCCTTCCCCTTCTCAAGCATCAGCCTCACCCCACACTACCTTTTGTAGAGCAACGTATCTCCTCTGGATCCCTCCCACATGATATCCTTGAGGCCTCTTCCTCCCCAGTTTGGTCTCTTGGTGAAGAAGGACCTTCCATGAATCAACCTCCCATCTTCCTTTGCAGGCAGTGGGGTGGCCCACAACCCTCTCCTTCCCCTTCTCAAGCATGGCCTCACCCCACACTACCTTTCTAGAGCAGCGGATCTCCTCTGGATCCTTCCCACATGATACCCTTGAGGCCTCTTCCTCCCCAGTTTGGTCTCTTGATGAAGAAGGACCTTTTATGAATCCAACTCCATCTTCTTTGGAGTGGCGTGACTCTCCTCTTGCCTTGCTCTGATGCAGAAATCATATTATTAAACCTCACCTCTCACCATGTTTCCAGAGCTGTGAGTCTCTGGAAGGATGCCTTTGAGCTGCTCTGGGGATGACTGAGGCGGGCAATGCCCTTCCCATCTTCCTTTGCAGGCAGTGGGGTGGCCCATAACCCTCTCCTTCCCCTTCTCAAGCATCAGCCTCACCCCACACTACCTTTTGTAGAGCAACGTATCTCCTCTGGATCCCTCCCACATGATATCCTTGAGGCCTCTTCCTCCCCAGTTTGGTCTCTTGGTGAAGAAGGACCTTCCATGAATCCAACTCCATCTTCCTTTGGAGTAGCATGACTCTCCTCTTGCCTTGCTCTGATGCAGAAATCATATTATTAAACCTCACCTCTCACCATGTTTCCAGAGCTGTGAGTCTCTGGAAGGATGCCTTTGAGCTGCTCTGGTGATGACTGAGACGGGCACACTTTCGTGCAGACCAGCCTCTCCTTCCTTCCCAGGGCCCCATAGCCATTGCTTGGAGGTCTCCCATCCCCTTTTCTTCGGAGGATCTCTGCACATCCCTCCCCTTCGGCACCCCTCCTCTTCCCCCTCGGCCTGGCACCTGCTCTTGCCCATCGGCCTCCAGGCAGGTGGCTTTTTCCTCCCTCCCTCCCTCCCTCCCCACTGCCGGGCATTGAGACCCTTGCATTGCATGGGAATTGTGGGTTTTCTCCCCATAAGATGCCTCTACACACTTTTCCCTCCTGAGATTAACCCCCCTCCCAATCCAGATTGGTGCTATATGGATGTCAAATGTGTTTTTTACTCAGAGGGTGGGGTGAAGGATCTCTTTGCCTTCCTGGTCTTGATGCTGTGGATGGGGAGGGAGCATGTTTTTTAAGATTGCATTGCAGGGTGGGCGGGCGAAAAGGAATGGTGCAAGGTATGGCTTCCGGGGTGGTGGTCTCTTTCGTCTTTCTTTTTTTTTTTTGGAGGTGGTGGGGGGGAGGAGGAGGAGGAGGAAAGAAGGCTGGGCTCTCTCAAGTTGGACGTGAGCCGAGTGAATCGGGCGAAGGGGCGTGTTTGGTGGGCCATCGGCACGTCGCCGTCCGTCCGTCCGTCCACGGAGGCTGGAGCATGGTGGAAGCATGGAGGACCACAGGTTTGGGAGGTGGAAGCAAGAAGGGGGGAGGCTGGGGGTTCCTTGCAGGGAGATGCAGGGGAATGGCATGTCTTGGAGGCTGATGAGCATGAATGGGAGTGAGGGGTGCTGCTGAAAACCCAGCCACTGGTTTGGGTTGGGAAGGTGATGTGTTTTTTTTTTCCATCAGCAAGTGGCAGAGGGGGAAATGCAGGATTGAGACTTGACGTTGGAGAGAAAACAAGCATTTGTGTGTGTGATGTTGAGTTGTCAGCTGCAGTGCTGTGGGGGCCCACAGTGGTGCAGTGGGAGGGGTTGGGGGAGCCTTGAGGGCGAAGGCTGGTATTTGGGTGGGGATGGATGCAGAGGTTAGCCCAGGAATGGTGCTTCCCTCTTGAGCATCCGAGGGGTGAGGATCGGTATGCGGTTCCTCGGGGTGGATGCCGGCTTTGCTCCAGGATTGCCTTTCATTTCCTTTCCGACCGCTTCCCTTTGCTGCATGCACGCTCCCCTCTCTCCCCTCCTCTCTCTTTGCCCTTTTATTCTGTGTACAGCTAAGCCGCGGCAAGGCGGGGAATTTATTAATTGTTCTGTGCGTGTGATATACCGCTTCACTTAACCCTCGAATGGTGACCTTGGCTGGTGAATCTCTGCACCTGGCAGACTAATTGGAGTTGTTGGATGAAATGCTGGAGGCAGCAGGTGGCTGGCGTGTGTGCGTGTGCATTCATATGTATGGGGGTATTTTTGATGTGTATTTGTGCATGACGGGGGTTTTGCAGGATGGACTTTGTGGTCTCTTCCAACTCTGTAATTCTGCAGTTCTTTCTATCTTTGCATCCCAAACCACATATTTATTTATTTATTTATTTACATTATTTATATCCTGCCCATATCAGCCCAGAGGCGACTCAGGGCGGTCAAGATGTCTGTTTGGGCATCAGGGTGGTCAAGATGTTTGTTTTGGCATACAAGATGTCTGTTTGGGCATCAGGACCTGCTGGTTGGGTGCTGCCCTACCACCATTGGCTTAGATCTGTGTTTCTCAACCTAGGGGTCTGGACCCCTGGAGGGGTCGTGAGGAGGTATCAGAGGGGTCGCCAAAGACCATCAGAAAACAGTATTTTCTGTTGGCCATGCGGATTCTGTGTGGGAAGTTTGGTCCAATTTTAACCTTGGTGGGGTTCAGAATGTTCTTTGATTGACATGATTGATTTTCATGTCAAGTTTGGTCCAGATCCATGATTGCTTTGAGTCCACAGTGCCAAGTTTGGTTCAATTCTATCATTGGTGGAGTTCAGAATGTTCTTTGATTGTAGGTGAATGATAAATCCCAGCAACTACAACTCCCAAATGCCAAGTCTATTTTCTCTACACTTCACATTTGGACATGTTGATTTTCATGCCAAGTTTGGTCCAGATCCATCCACAGTGCTCTCGGCATGTAGGTGAAGTACAACTCCAAAACTCAAGGTCTATGTTCCCCAAGCCTCTCCAGTACTTTCTGTTAGTCGTGGGAGTTCTGTGTGGGAAGTTTGGCCCAATTCTAACCTTGGTGGAGTTCAGAATGTTCTTTGATTGTAGGTGAACGATAAATCCCAGCAACTACAACTCCCAAATGCCAAGTCTATTTTCTCTACACTTCACAAGAGTTCACATTTGGACGTGTTGATTTTCGTGCCAAGTTTGGTCCAGATCCATCATTGTTTTGAGTCCACAGTGCTCTCGGCATGTAGGTGAACTATAACTCCAAAACTCAAGGTCTATGTTCCCCAAGCCTCTCCAGTATTTTCTGTTGGTCATGGGAGCTCTGTGTAGGAAGTTTGGCCCAATTCTAACCTTGGTGGGGTTCAGAATGTTCTTTGATTGTAGGTGAACGATAAATCCCAGCAACTACAACTCCCAAATGCCAAGTCTATTTTCCCTACACTTCACCAGAGTTCACATTTGGACATGTTGATTTTCATGCCAAGTTTGGTCCAGATCCATCCACAGTGCTCTCAGCATGTAGGTGAACTGCAACTCCAAAACTCAAGGTCTATGTTTCCCAAGCTTCTTCAGTATTTTCTGTTGGTCATGGGAGTTTTGTGTGCCAAGTTTGATTCAATTCTGTCATTGGTGGAGTTCAGAATGCACAGTTATTGTAGGTGAACTATAAATCCCAGCAACTACAACTCCCAAATGTCAAGGTCTATGTTCCCCAAGCCTCTCCAGTATTTTCTGTTGGTCATGGGAGTTCTGTGTGCCAAGTTTGGTTCAATTCCATCATTGGTGGAGTTCAGAATGCTCTTTGATTTTAGGTGAACTATAAATCCCAGCAACTACAACTCCCAAATGACAAATCAATTGCACTCCCCCCCCCCAAACCCACCAGTATTCAAATTTGTGTGTATTGGGTATTTGTGACAAATTTCATCCAGTAAATGAAAATACATCCTGTATATCAGATATTTACATTACGATTCCTAACAGTAGCAAAATTACAGTTGTGAAGTAGTAATGAAAATAATTTTATGGTTGGGGGTCACCAACCATAAGGAACTGTATTAAGGGGTCGCAGCATTAGGAAGGTTGAGAACTCCTGACTTAGGTCTTGCAAGCAGCCAGTGCCCAGCCAATTGGCTTTGAATACTTTTCCATGTATTCACCCATCAAGGCCTGCAAACTCTCCTGGAGAGCCTTTGCATTTGTGCTGTCAAGCGCTAATTGTTCGGAAGTGTTGTGGGAGGGAGGGGAGGAAACCAACACCCTTGCATTTTGAATAATTGAGCTGAAATTTAGCAGAAGCTTAAGCTAATTTCATTATCTGTGGAGCGGGTGGGACCCACCATGCATTTTTCGCTTGCTTGCTGCAAGCACGGGGGACAAACTTGCTCCTTGCATCAGAGGGAAACCTGGGTTTAAATGAGAATACTTTTTTTGGGTGAGTGCATGCAATAAAACATATTGCTCTAATCTGGCTGTACATGGATGGACAAATATAGGAATGGGTTGTTGTAGATTTTTTTGGGCTATATGGCCATGGTCTAGAGGCATTGTTCTGGAACGGTTGTTCCAGGGGCTCCAATTTTGTGTTTTGCACTGAGTGTTTGTTTATAGTCCTAAGTTGCAGGGACTTTGTAGATAGGTGGCTCCTTAGGCTGCATTCATAGGGCAAGCCACCTGTCAATAATAGTTAGGATCCCTGGTCCCGCCCCTCTTTGGTTTTTTGGAGGGAAGGGGCCATTTTTCAGTTAGTCTCAGAAAAGAAAGTCAATGCAGAGGATGTATACAGATGTCCTCCTGTGCAAAGGTTTCGTCCCTTAAGACTTTCTGGGTGGAGAAGAGTTTTGAGAGCCTCTGAAGACTCCCAAAGGTTCCGGGGAAACAGCCTTACAGCCCTGAGGAATTCCGGAGGAAATAACAGCTCTAACCATCAAAGCAGCGAAGTGATTACAAGCCTTTTGATAGGTTCGCTCGGCGTAGAGACGTAGTTCAGCCCGGTAGTGAATCCACATCAATAAGGTTTAGGTTCACAGCAGCCTGGCATCTATGGCAAGCATCCTCAGAGGCAGTGAGGTCTGTCTGAACTAGGAAAAAGGGTTTATCTATCTGTGGAATGACCAGGGTGTGACAAAGGACTCTTGTCTGCTGGAGCTAGGCGTGAATGTTTCAGCTTATTACCTTGATTAGCATTTGATTGCCTGGCAGTGCCTGAGAGATTATTAGATGTCCTTGTTTGTTTCCTCTCTGTTGTTGTGCTGTTGTAATTTTAGAGTTTTTTTAATACTGGTAGCCAGATTTTGTTCATTTTCATGGTTTCCTCCTTTCCGTTGAAAGGTTGATTCATCATCCGTTCCACCTGATGAAGCAACCTGGACACAGCATATTATTTGAGAACACAGATATGCTGGACCACTCTCACAACCACCATGTCAGACTACACAGGGAAGCCATTGAAATCCACAAGCAGGTGGACAATTTCAACAGAAAGGAGGAAACCATGAAAATGAACAAAATCTGTCTCGATTGTGTTGATAGTCAATATGGTCTCTTCCAACTTTATTATTCTGTGATTCATGATGACATGATGCCCATGGATCAAGATGTGAGGGAAGTCCTAAGGAGGAGGGAGCAAGCTTGTTTTCTGCTTCCATGGAGACCAGGATGCAATGGAGCAATGGCTTCAAACTACAGGAAAGGAGATTCTACCTGAACATGAGGAAGAACTTCCTAACAGTGAGAGCCGTTCACCAGTGGAACCCTGCCCCGGAGTGTGATGGAAGCTCCTACTTTGGTGGCTTTGAAACAGAGGCTGGATGGCTATCTGTTCCAATTCTGGGCCTTGCAATTGAAGGGAGATGTTGACTCTAAGCTGGAATGTGTCCAGAGGAGGGGCTGGAGAACATGCCCTATGAGGAGGGGCTTAAAGAGCTGGGCATGTTTAGCTTGTAGAAAAGGCTGAGAGGAGACATGATGGCCATGTATAAATATGTGAGGGGAAGTCATAAGGAGGAGGGACCAAGCTTGTTTTCTGCCTCCCTGGAGACTAGGACGCAATGGAACAATGGGTTCAAACTACAGGAAAGGAGATTCCATCTGAACATGAGGAAGAACTTCCAAACAGTGAGAGCCATTCAGCAGTGGAACTCTCTGCCCCGGAGTGTGGTGGAGGCTCCTTCTTTGGAAGCTTTTAAACAGAGGCTGGATGGCCATCTGTCAGAGGTGCTTTAAATGCAATTTTCCTGCTTCTTGGCAGAATGGGGTTGGACTGGATGGCCCACCTGGTCTCTTCCAATTCTATGATTCTGTATTGGGTTAGAGGTGTATCCACAGAGTTTTCTGGGATGTTAAATATGTGAATACATGTCGCGGAATAGAAGACAGCAAAGGCAAGAGAAATGTGATTTCTTGGCATTATTGAAACCTTCTGAGCTGTATATTGTTGGTTAGGCTTTAGCATCCATCTGTTGTGGCCTTTTCGTATTATCTCCACAGATTGTCAGCTTTCCTGTTGCCTGGAGCCCAGTTGTTATGGAAGA